AGCGTGCCACCTGGAATTCATAAGGGATTATATTGGTAAGGAAGAGGAGGAAAAAAGACATAAAGTAAATAACCAGCAAATATATGCCATATTGTTTATTTATTTGTTTATTAACTAAATGACCAGCAAGTATATGCCATATTGTTTATTTATTTGTTTATTAACTAAATGACCAGCAAGTATATGCCATATTGTTTTTCTGTGAATACTATGATGCTCTTATTCGTAATATTTAGACTGGATATGGAAAGAAAGCCATCTGGTAGTGGGGGAAGTGTTCGTGATCCCAGTTTACTAACTGATTTTTGAATTGTCTAGATCCTTCTAGTTTGCTTTTTGTTGTTTCTATTGTTGTTTCATGTGGCCTTAAAAGCACTGTATCATAGTGCTTTCTATTTTTGTTAGGTAGTAAGTAGAAGGAGAGTGTTGCCACTTTTTATGGTGCTTATTTGAAAGTTCAGAGAAAATGGAACTGTGACTTCAGTGCTGAAGCAAAGTTTTGCGTACCTGTGGAGAGGTGTAAGGTTGTGTAATATGTGTAAAACATAACAATATGACTTGCTGTGCTTATGTTAGAGGATTTTTTATGAAGATGAAATGGAAGAGGCGGTGCCTACATTTTAAATAGAATGATAGAATTTCTAATATCAGACCTGTTACATTATTTGATGGTTTAAGTCACATACTGACTTCATAGTGCAAGTTAGACTTGAGTTTAAGATTTCTGACTCCTATTTCAGATAACATATACTACTACTCTGAAACCTTATACAGGGTCACTATGGGTCGGAACCGACTTGACAACAACAACAACATACCTTAGTAGATAATATTATTCTTATAACTAACTACCTGTAATTTAGCATTTTATGCTATGTGGTTAGGTACTTCCATATTAATATAGCTTGGTGACACTGTGGGGTAAACATTCAACTGTTAAATGCAAAGTCAGCATTTCAAATCCACCAGCTGCTCTAAGCAAGATGGGATTTTTCACTCCTGTGAAGGTTTACAGCCTTGGAAACCCTATCCAGGGTCATTCTTGAGTCAAAATTGATTCGGTGGAATTGAGTTTGAATTTTGGGATTATAGCTTGTTATTGTTGTCAAGTGCCATCCAGTTGGTTCCAACTCATAAATACTCTGTAGCGGGTTTCCCAGGAGCTGCTGGTAGGCTTGAACTACCAAACTTGAGACTAGCAGTTTAGTGTGCTTATCCTGCAGTGCCAAATAGTGGGAGAAAATCTGGTGGTGTGTGGGAGGGAGTGAGAATCAAATTAGATAATGTAAGTGAAAGCTTTCTATACTTTATACTTGAAAGTACTGTGTGACTCTACGCAATAGTCATGGGCTGTAAGTGACAGATGAATTATTTGGGGGATAAGAATAACAGATATCAATAAAGATGGATCATGGTTATCGACTGTTTAGCTATGTCACCTGTTTAGGGTGGCGTTTGTACTTCATTATTCTCTTTGGTTGTCAATCAATACCAAATTTGCATGAATATGTCTACTATTTCATATATTAATAGAGAAACAAATGTGAAATTGTACAAATCAAATACATGCTTTTAGAAAATAGCAATTAGACTGGCACCAGAGTTTTCATAATAATTCAGTTGTTTTCTGCTGCTGAATATTTGAGTTGCTTTATAAGAGCAGTTAATTGCATTTGTTGATGTAAATATAAAACTGCATAAAGTTATGAACCATTTATCTATGTATAAATTGTGTGATTTTTTTTTAAACTTCTTAAGCATCTAAGGAGCCCTGATAGCATAGTGGTTACGAATCGGGCTGTGAACCTTAAGGTCAGCAGTTCAAATCTACCAGTGGCTCTGCGAGAGAAAGATGAGGCTTTCTGCTCCCATAAAGATTTACAGCCTCGGAAACCCTGTACAGGGTCGCTATGGGTCGGAACCGACTCAACGGCACTTAACAACAACAACAACAAGCATCTTATGAGTTGTGGTTTTATTTATGAATTTTCTATTTTTCTTTCTCATCAGTGAGCTACCTGAGAGAGAAGAAGGTGAAGGAGAAGAAACTCCAAACTTCAGCCATTGGGGTCCACCAAGAATGTACGTTGATGATGTTACTGACTTTCTCAGTCAGAGGACAAGAGTCTTCCAATTTTGAACTTCTTAGAACATCACTGAGTTATATTTAGTGATTGAGGAATCACCATAGATCACATGTAGGCTGACCTGCATTTTAGTTTCACTTTGTCTTAGAGATTTTTGTTTTGGCTAAGACTCTAACCAAGATTTGGAAAATCTTTATTATACTCTTACAGAAAACAGTCAGTTTAGAAGCAATTTAAATATGTCCATTGCAAAAAAATATGGCACCAACTGTTCCTCCCACTGCACACTCTACTAAAAATTTGGTTTGATAATTCACTGCAATGGTCACACAGAATTCAGACATCACACTTAACAATTATGGGTTTTACTAGGGAAGTTAACAGGTTATGATTCAGAGTCAGAAATATTCAGGACACAGTTCTTTAGTCAGGACATTCCTCAGCTATGAGCACAGTCAGGCCTCTCTCTGAATTTCAGCCTCTTGGCCTGGCCTCTGCTCTGCTCTGCTCTGACAATATTACAAAACTCTTTTAGGACTGATAAACCCCTCAGGACACACCACTCCTTCATAAGCCTCAGCATGAAGACATTCAACTTTAGCTCCATGGATCAGCTTACTTAGCGCCCCAGTTAAGTGCCTGGGGCATCCCACTCTGCAAGCAAGCCTTCTGCCCAGTTTCACTGAGCGGTACTTGCTTCATGGTCTGGGTAGCACAGGACACTGTCTTGTGCTGTGATTCTTGGTTCTGTTGTTGCTGCTCCTCTGCCACCCTCCAGTGTCACGGGTTTCTGTCCGTGAGTTGAGGATTTCAATGTGCAGGGATTTATGAGTCCAAAGGTCTTGCTTCATTTATGGTTCTTCTTTGATGGTAGTGAGATTCCCCCCTCCTTCTTCTTCAGCTGTGAATGTTCAGAGTTGCTTTTAATTGTAGAAACTCTAAACATTCACAGCTGAATCATATCACAGTATCAGCATCTCCTTTCACACTCTATTACCTAGGCTCAGCAGGGCAGAAATGTTGCTTAGTAGGAATTTCAGACTGTTGCTAGAAGAGACATTAAATAATTCACTACACCACATCCATCTATGATAGTGGCTGATGTACTAAGTATGGTTTATTACTGAATCATTAATCATGGTAGATAGGGTTGACTTAAAAGCAGTAAACCTTTTGTGTTTGTTTGTTTAAAAAAAAAAAATCAGCAATAGTTGAGGTTGGTGTCTGTCTTGTCAATTTAACTCTCTCCTTGTCTTAGTCCAAGTTTGTGCTTTGTTTGGGGCTTATCTGCCCATCATTACTTTCATAGTTTTAAGTATTCAACAGAAATGTGCTTTATTTAGATTATCATAGTCTTCCTTCTAGCTACTCTTACTGGTCTTTTGTTGTTGTCAAGTGTGGCTAAGTATGTCCCAACTCATTGTTGTTGTTGTTATATGCTGTGAAGTTGGTTCTGACCCATAGGGTTTCCAGTGAACAGCTGGTGAGTTTGAACTGCCAACCCCGTGGTTCAGACCAACCTTGTAGTCCATCAGTGACTTTGTATGGCTTTCCAAGGAGGAGCTAGTGAGTTAGAACCACTGACCTTGTGGTCCAGTGCTTTATCCCACAGCTCCACACCAGGACTCCTATTTTTTTGCATTGTTCATTCCACCATCCCACACCAACCTGCATTCTGAATTTTGACTCAAAACTCTGAGGAACTGCTTTTTGAGTTCTTTAAAAATAAAATTTGTTGTTGTTGAGAATATATACAGCATATTAAGAATTCTGTATATTGATTTAGATATTTCAGAATTTAAGCTTTCATATCTAGTATCAATTATTGATAGTATCTTATAGTTTTGGGATTTGACATGAGTTATATGACATTTTTACAGATTTACAGTTGATCCTAAGTTAACAAACACAGTAGATAGGGGCTCCAACCCTCTGCACAGTCAACTATTTGGCACACCTTTTTACTCACCCAAAACTTAACTAATGGCTTACTGTTGAATGAAGCTTTGCCATAACATAAATAGTCATTTAACACATACTGCATATGTTATATGTATTATACGAAAGAAGCTCTGTTAGTGTATTGGTTATGAATCAGGCTGCTAACCTCAAGGTCAGCAGTTTGGAACTACCAGCTGTTCCACGGGAGAAAGATGAGGCTTTCTGCTCCCGTAAAGATTTACAGCCTTGAAAACCCTATGCAGGGTCGGAATCAACTCCATGGTACTCAACAACAACAACAATGTATTACATGATGAGACTTCAAAACATTTGCGCACATGTGGAATCAAAGGATAATGAAATGTTCCCATAATCTTTTTAAAAGACCCCTCTTATACTGTACCAACATTGCTGTATTCAATACGAAATAAAAACCTGTTTCCCAAAAAGTATAATTGTTTTGTGTCTGCTGGTGTCGTTGTAAGTGGCAGCTTCACAATTTCCTTTTCTTTTTTATACAATGGTCCTTGAAATGATGGTCCCTTGCAGCTTCAGACCTCCATCTATGGTACAAACCGAGCAATTCAACTTTTTTTTTTGGTAATATCATGACTCTTCTCTGCCTCATGAGAACATTTCCAGCAACACTAGTGGCACTTAGTATGGGTGTTGTGCCATGGAGTCAGTTTTGACTTATAGCATACCTGTATAGGATTTCCCAGAAGTGGCTGGTGGGTTTGAACCACTGACCTTGTGGTTAGCAGCCCAGTGCTTACTGTATAGTGCCATACCAGGACTCCCTTTGTATGGGTTCTTGTTAAGTGCCGTCGAGTTGGTTGCTACTGATAGCGACCCTGTATACCATTATATTATTCAAGGTTTATAGTATTGCAGTAAGCATGATGAAAAATAAGTGAGAACCATGAGAGATCATTTGCTGCTTTACACCATTTACTGGAGAGATGAATTGCTGACGAGGAAATGATTATTAGCACACTATGCTTTCAAGAACATCAGAGTATAATTGGACCTACCTTGTTCTCAAGTCAACTGTATTTATAAAATGTATTTATATAAAACATGAATAACAGGGAGAAAGTACAACTGAATAATTACAAGAACTGTTCAACAAATCACATTAGTTTGATTGGTAATGGATTTTGTTTTTCTTTTCATAGTGTTGAGATTTTTAGAGAACCCGATGTGTCTCTTGGAATCAGTATTGTTGGTGGACAAACTGTTATAAAACGCCTAAAGAATGGAGAAGAGCTTAAAGGCATATTTATAAAACAAGTTTTAGAAGACAGTCCAGCAGGAAAAACAAAAGCTCTTAAAACTGGAGATAAAATACTTGAGGTAAGTGATGGTGAAATATGTTTTCTATTTGACATGCACAGTAAGATAGTGAAACAATCTGTTAGGCAGAACTCTTCGCTTTAGTGAAGTAGGCGTATATAATGGGTTTATTTAGTTAGTTAAATGTGTATATTAATCTTAAGGATTTCTCAGTGTGGTGGGGCAGCAAGTCACATGATAAAACCTTTGGGTAGGTTTCTTTGAGTCAGTTCTGACTCATAGTGATCCTGTGTCCAACAGAATGACACATTGCCCAGTCCTGCACCATCCTCAGAGCAGTTATAGTGTTTGGGCTCTTTATTCCAGCCACTGTGCCAGTCCATCTCCTTGAATGTCTTCTTCATTTTGCTAACCCTCTACCTTACTTAACATAATGTCCTTCTCTAGGAATTAGTCCCTAATGATAGCATGCCTAAATACATGACACTAAATCTTGCTGTCTTTGCTTCTAAGCAGCATTCTGGCTGTACTTCTTCCAATCTATATTGTACTTCTAGTAGTCCATGATAAACATAATATTCTTCACCAACACCATAATCCAAATGCATCAATTCTCCAATTCATTGTCTAGCTTTTGCATGCATATAAGATGACTGAAAATACTATGGTTTACATCAGTTTTACCTTATAATCTAAGTCACATCTTTGCTCTTTAACACTCTAAAGAGGTCTTTTGGACCAGATTTGCACAATGCAGTATGTCGTTTGATTGCTTGACTGATGCTTCCATGAGTGTTGATTGTGGCTTCAAATAAAGGAAATCCTTCAATCTTTTCTCCATTTATCATGATGGTAGTTATTCGTCCTGTGTGAGGATTTTTCTTTTCTTTGCATAACAGTATAATCCATCCTGTAGTCTTTGATTTTCATCAGTAAGTGCTTCATGTCCTCTTCATTTTCAGCAAGCAAGATTGTTTCATCTGCATATCACAGATTGTTAATGAGCCTTCCTCCAATTCTGATTCTGCATTCTACTTATAATCTACCTTTTGAATTATTTGCTCCACATACAAATTGGTTAAATATGGTGAAAAGATACAATCTGGATGTACACCTTTCATAAATGTAAACCATTGCGTGCTGACTTGATCTGTTCAAAAGACTGCTTCTTGGTCTATATACAGGTTTCTCATGAGTACAGTTAAGTGTCTGGAATTCTCATTCTTAGCTTGTCATGATCCACACAGTCAAATGCCTTTGCAGAGTAAATAAAACTTTAGTAAACATCTTTTTGGTATTATCTGCTTTCATCCAAGATCCATCTGATGTCCCTTGTCTGACAATGTCATTGCAAAAATTTTTCCCGTTCTGCAGGCTCCCTTTTTACTCTCTTGATGAAATGTTTTGATGCACCTAAGTTTCTAAATTTTAGCATGTCCTAGCCATCTACTTTGTTGTCATGGAAGCAGCAGTCAAGAAATCAAATGACATATTACATTAGGCAAATCAGCTGCACAAGACCTTTTAAAAGTGTTGAAGAGCAAAGATGTCAGCTTGAGGACTAAGGTGCTCCTGACCCAAGCCATGGTATTTTCAGTAACCTCATATGCATGCGAAAACTGTACAGTGAATAAGGAAGACCGTAGAAGAATTGATACTTTTGAGTTATGGTGTTGGAGGAGAATATTGAATGTGCCATGGGCTGCCAAAAGAACCAACAGATCTGTGTTGGAAGAAG